CACTTCTCTCTGAGATCCTTCCATGAAGCCTACTCATTGAATTAAGGGGGATTTCTTTCCCAGTGATGCATGCATACATAATTATGGACTCATGCCAGCCTAGGAAACATTTCCATGAGGCATACTCAGAACAACTACCAATGGGTGTACCATCAATAAAGCCACTGACCTTACAATGATGTATCACAGTTTAGGAACTAACAAACACTCTGTAAAAATAACATAAATCCCAATTTCATCCCAGTTTACCTAAGTGGACCAAACAAAATTAAGTCAGAAGGATTCTCTCAGGTTTGATCAGTTGTACAATACCATCAACAAAACTATATGTCATCCTGTTACTCATGTGCTAAAACCCCATTTAGGTGTTCCAGGCCTGCACTGAAATTGGGTGGTAGTGAATATCAAAGTGTAACAGACTGTCAGTGTGGGCTCACCAGATTGGCTTGAGATACTTCCCCTGGGCTAGAAACAGTGCTGGTGACCTCTGAGTGAGCCCAAGGGTGGAGCTGGGGAGCCCTGCCCTGCGGAGAAGGGAAAGCCAATGGAAAGAAGGGTTTTCAATCCCCTCATTCGCATGGAAGGGGGATGGCCGGGGTTGGGGGCCAACCACCCTGAGCCCTGGTTGGCCGGTTTGCAAGCCTGGGCGGGGGGGGGACTGTCGGAGGGGATAAAAGCAGCAGCTGAACTGGTGTGGGGGCTACCGACAGTGACTCCAGGGAACAATGCAGGAGGCCTAAGAAGAATTGGGGTGAGCTGACCCAGCCAAGGGAGAAGAGACACCCCTCTGAAGAGCCTTGACGACCCTGGGAGAAGAAGGCAGGGGCAGTCGGCCATGCCTCCAGCCCTGCAGCAGAGGGGGAGCCGCAGCCAGGGCTTGGGGCAGAGAGCTGGTGCCCAAAGGCCCCATTGCAGTGTGCTAGACGTGCCAGGTGTCCCTAAGGCTAGGGGTGGCAGTCAGCCCCCACTGCACTGTGGAGAAGAAGCAGCAGCCAGGAGTGCAAGTGGCATCCTTATCCAGAGCAGGGAGCTGGGCCGGCGAGTTGAGGAAACCCCTCACCTTTCCTGGGGAAGCGGGACAGCAACAGGCAAGGAATTGGGATCCTGAGGAGCAGCAGAGCGCCAGGACAAGTGTCCCTAGGAGCTCGGGGTGCAGGCTGGCACTCGGAGCGGGATTGGTGATCTGGGAGGAGTGTGGGGTGCCCGGCCAGTCATCTGGAGCAGGGATTTAGAGCAATGACCCCTGGGAGCTCCTGTGCTGCTGACCCTCTGCCACTGACTGCCCCAGAGGGGACCCAGCCCTGTCCCTTATTCTGCAGCTGATGGTCATCGCATAGAGTCCCTGAGCTTTGTGTTTGGGTCATGCTGATTGCTGCAGGAGCCTACTCTGCTTGCTTTTTTGGTTGCCCCAAAGGGTCACCCTTCACCCTCTTTGTGGGGCTGGGGTTTGATACAGTTTGATTGCTGCAGACCAGAAGAGCTGAACCTGTTGCAGTCTGGCGCTTATTGGGAAGCCTGTTGCAGCTGCTGGAAGGGAGCACCTTGCTTCCTTGTGGTGGTACTTCAGCAGCGGCAAGGGTCACCCTTCACCCTCTTTGTGGGGCTGGGGTTTGATACAGTTTGATTGCTGCAGACCAGAAGAGCTGAACCTGTTGCAGTCTGGCGCTTATTGGGAAGCCTGTTGCAGCTGCTGGAAGGGAGCACCTTGCTTCCTTGTGGTGGTACTTCAGCAGCGGCTGAAAGCTGCCAGTTCCCCTACCTGTGGGTCTTGAGTCAAGGGTTGACATGAATTCAGGTTTGTTTTGTGATTCTGGTTATGCCATTGAAGTTCACGTGTAAGTCACCTTTCCTATTATTCTTGTTCTGTAAATAAAGTGTAAACCGTTAAATCAGTTAAGTGTTAGACCTTCTTGGGACCATGGACTGCTCTGTGGGGAGCAGGGGCTGGCTGGGAAGTAAATTGGTGCTGGCCAGAAGCCCTGCCCCACTCTCACCACACCATCCCTGATACTGGGCAGGGTGGCAGATATTGGGCTGCCACCTGGGTTACAAAAGTCAAGGGATTGTCCTCCTGGTATCGCCAATCTTCCAAATACTCTTGCAGTCATAAGATTCAGAGGAAGCACGCTTCCCTGCATATGGTTTTTAATATTAAAATATTGAGACACTCAATTTGTCAGCATTGTGCCTGACTTCATATTTTTTACCCAGTGATTATCAGTCCTGGGGTTGGGTAATTTATCAATTTCACTCTATTTAAATTGTTTTATCATAGTATCATAGTACTTAGAGTCAGAAGGGACCTAACCAGATCATCAGGTCCGACCCCCTGTCCCGGGCAGAAACGGGTGCCGGGGTCATATCACCCCAGCCAAATATCTGTCCAACCTCCTCTTGAAGACCCCCAGGGTAGGAGAGAGCACCACCTCCCCTAGGAAACCATTGCAGAGCCTGGTCGCCTTAACCATCAAGTAATGTCTCCTGATGTCCAGCCTGAATCTACTCTTAGTCAATTTATGGCCGTTATTCCAAGTAACCCCGGGTGGTGTCCGGGGGGACAGAGCCTCCCCCAATTCCCGCTAGTCCCCACAGTGAGTTTGCAAACCACCACCAGATCCCCTCTCAGCCTTCTCGTGTGGAGGCTGAATAGGTTCAAGCCCTTTAGCCTCTCTTCGTAGGGCCTGCCCTGCTGCCCCTTTAACTTCAGTTCAGAGTCTAGCCCATTGCATTGACTGAACTGCACTATTTCCTCCCTCTGAGATGGCAGTCTGGCCAACTGGCTTCCCAGGCCAATTAAGAAGTAAGGCTTCAGGGAATCGGAAGGTGATGCACCCATGGTATTAGCAGGGGCGCCACATGCTAGATATCCTGGAGTGGAAAGGCAGATTGGATTACAGATCAGCTGCAATCTGGCCCAGTGATCAGAGACCATATTGGATGAAAGGTTCAATCCAGGCCACTCTCATAACTGACACTCATCTAATAAGAGTCCAGCATTGCACCCTGAGAAGTCATCCTTTCTTCCTGAGTGATTAAGATGAAATCTGCCTGTGCTGATAGAAACCTGATCAGGGTTACAAAGAAAAGTAGGAGGAAATTATGTTTCCTTTAGGTTATTTCATAAAAGGAGAGATATCTTCATAAAAAAAACTCCTAGAGGTATTTTGCCAGCTTAATGGAGAATATTTTTCCAACCAGTTTGAGTGACGCACACTTTCCTTCCCCTTTGGGGCATTGTTTGAGAGTAAAATCTTAGACCAGTTCACAAGGGACCGGTGAACTTTTTGTAGAAGGAGGTCCTTTGAAATAAGAATCATCTTAATCAATTTACAGCTCACTTGGAGTCAGTACTTAAATTGTCTCCTTCACTGTAAAAAATTAATCTGTGTGGATCTACAGAGAGGTGAGGTTTTTCTTGATTCATTCCCTCTTCTTTTCTATGCGAGTGTGCACGCACACACACATGCGCACACACGCTAAATTCCACTCTTATATTTTTTCATTTATTTTTGTGGTTACTTACTCTGAAATGTACCTCACTGTCCTGTCTAGAAATATGCATTTCTTCAGTTGAGTTAAGGACATTTCATCTGCAATCTGATCTCAGTTACACATGTACCAATGTGGTCTGAATTCACAGCCATCACCAAGGTTCCTGTGAATTTCACTGCAGTCAGAATCCAAATTATTGGTGGTACAATATAGGTTTATAGGTGGTACAATACTATAATTGATACTTATATAAAGTATAACTAAATAATAGTTATATAGGTGGTACAATACCATAATGGTGGTGTCAATGACAAAAGAGTCAGGAAAGAGGATGAGTGCTGAAAGAGTCTGCACTGAATCTGTAAAGTGATGCAAAAGGTACAAATGGTTAACCAGACTTGTTCTAGGAAGATCTCCTGAAGAGTGAGAAATATTGGCCATGGGAGTCTTCCTACTTTCACACTCCCTTTGACGCCCCATCTTACACAACGGAGCCCATTTCAGATGATGGGGGAGCATATTCAACACCGGCAATGTAGCAGCTTGTTAGCGGAGGGAACTCTGAAGATAATAATACATGCACTAGAGAAGGGGGTATTGAAGTCATCCTGAAATTCCTGCTATATATGAAAATACAGGAGCCTGTACTTGTGGGACAGCCTACCAGAAAACAAAACAAAAAACAGATTAAATTCTGTGGCTTCTTTTCTCCTGCCATTTAAAAGACACACATGAATACCACTCTAATGAAGGGAGATTTTGGCTGTGTCATTTCAGGGGAATGATTCTTGATTTAAAGGAAAGTAGAGACCTCTCTTTGTACGTCTTGTTTTCCCTTAAATATAGATATTATTACATTATGTATAGCTGCTCAACTGGACCAGATCAGACTTTTAAGCTAATATAGATGGTGGAGTACGTATTACTTCTGAGCCATGGTTGTATGAACAAAGTTCCAGATGGTACGGTGTGTCTCACTCAGGTGAGTTTCTGAATACTCCTATCACTAATCTAATATAATGTGGCTTCAGTTAAGACCCAACCAATTGTTATAACCCTGGTCACAACTGCGAAATCAGGGGAATGTGGTTTTGGGAAATGAAGAAAAATGGTTTAGGTTATTTATTTATTTTAAGATAACATGTTTTTATATTGCTCAGTTTTGGTATAGACCGTAGAAATTTTTAGAACGGCAGGCTGCGCACCACCTTCAGCTGCCAGTCCCCTCCTCGGTGCCTTAGTCCTCCCTGGTGTATGGATCAACTTAAGCCCCAGTGCCAGATGATGTGGCTTCTCAGGCTAGATATGGGTTACAGACCATATCTCAGATGGACCTGTCCAAGAGATTGGGTTGGATAGCTAGATACTTGGAAATACTTTCAGCCATTATTATTTGTTTATCTATCAATCCACACCTCCTTTCATCCATTCCTAGGTTTAGGGTTGCCCACAATTTTTCTTGTACATTATTGCAGCCAACTGACATCTCCATTTTCATTCTTTCAGAAGAAATGCCTAAGTAAATGGAAACCAGGAACCACACAAGGGTGCCTGAGTTCATCATGGAGGGGATCTTTGAACATCCCCACCTCCAGGGTCTGTTCTTTGGGATCATCCTGTGCCTCTTTATGGCTTTGATTATAGGCAAGTCTTTGATTATCATGGCAGTTGTTCTTCACCTGCCTCTGCACAAACCCATGTACTTCTTCATTGCTAACCTGGCTTTAATTGACATTGTCTGCACCTCCTCTGTTCTGCCCAAAATGATGCAGAACCTGATAGTGGGAAAGAAAACCATCTCCTTTAATGGCTGCATGGCTCAGCTCTTTACCTTCACCTCCTCAGCAGCAACAGAGCTTGTTCTCCTCACTGCCATGGCCTTTGACAGGTACATGGCCGTCTGTCATCCCTTACACTATGTAACCATCATGACCAAGAGAGTCTGCATCACATTAGCAGCCTGTATCGGGGCCCTTGGAATCATGAATTCCCTTGTGCACACATTGGTCATGCTGCGTCTAGATTTCTGTGGGCCCAACCTCATCCAGCACTTCTGTGAGATCCCACCTCTGCTGGCATTGTCCTGGAGCTCAGCTTACCTCAACGAAGTCATGGCTTTCATTGCTGATATTTTCCTAGCCATGGGAAACTTCTTGCTGATCATTGTATCTTATGGCTTCATCATCAGAAGCATCCTGAAAATTCAGGGTTCAGAAGGGAAGTCAAGAGCCTTCTCCACATGTTACTTACATCTTGTTGTAGTTGGCCTTTACTACTCCACTATCACCTACACCTACATCTGGCCACCCTCTGGCTACTCCCTGGATAAGGACAAGATGGTCTCTGTGCTTTACACACTTGTGACTCCTGCACTGAATCCTTTGATCTACAGCCTGTGCAACAAGGAGGTCAAAATGGCCTTCACGAAAATCCTCACGTTCTGCAAGATAGATTCGTATTGACACCGGCAAACAACAGTTTCTGTCATCTCATCATTTCTGTTCTGGCCCCACGCCTGGTGTGAACTGTTTTAATATCCTGCACTTCAGTGGCTCCCAGCTGATACACATCTTTAGAGTTTCTGAGTTTTTTTTCTTATTTCACTACAGTTAATAATGATGACATTTGCCCCTTGTACGAAATGATGCAAGTGTTTTGGTGAATATTACAGTTTTCTTTGTAACCCATTAAGATTAGGAGTCCATGATGTGTTATGCTAGATAAAATAATGTACAAATTGTTGCACGCTTTCCTTTAAATGTATGGTCAGAGTAGCAGAGCATTATTTTTTTCAATGGGTTTGAAGAAAGACAATCTATATAAACCAAACTAAAACAAACCAAATAAATTAACCAGTGCCCCATTCTTGCCCTTCATTCTCTGTTTTCTGTACAACAATGTGACTCCAAAATATTTCATATATTTCAATTGATATCTGAAAGCTTCATATACCCATATGTAGGTCTCTGACAGATTTTTATAAAATTGTATTTATGAAAATTCACTTTTTAATTCTCACTTAAGGCTTCTGTTACAGAATTGTATCCCCCCCGCCGATTGGCGGTGTGGAAATTATATAATTTCCATATATATATTTTTTTAATTGATTTTCACTTACTGCAGAAATACATTGATATCAATTACATACATATCAGTCTAAATTTTCTACAAATCTCTCAGCCATAGTAACCAATAAAGTGAGTGGGAAAATGGAGAAGAGCATAGCAAGGGATAAATAAGGAAAAAAACTGAGAGCAAGGAGTAACAGTCCACTAAAGCTAATATAGGATTTAAAATATTCCAAAAGAGTTTCCCTAGGTAGTGTCATGCTTTTCAAAGCACTTAGTCTGTGAACATGATTTTCTGTGTGGTTGCTATTTTTGGCATTTCATTACTTAAGGGCTTTATTACACATGGATTTTCAGTAGGTCTTAGAACTCTTAACCCCTGGGTTGTCCACACATTAACACCAGAAACTAGTATTAAGCACACTTTAGGTGGCTTAAAAGTTAGGTCACTCCATGGCAGGGTAATCTCTGATCTGTTTTACCAAGCATTAATATGTGACCACTTCCCACAAATGAACTGCCCCAGTTGCAGTCCTCCACCATCTCAGGAGGACATGTCCCCACCTCACACTACTGTTCTGTGCGGACACATTTTCCACCCCCTGAATTCTGCTGCCCAGAGGAAGATTGTAGCACCAAGCCAACTCCCTCTGCTGTGCCTGGGGCTGTTACTTTCTCACCTGTGGGTGTGCAACCCCATGCAAACGGTGTGCAGGACACATGCCAGCCGCATGAGTTCACAAGTGGGTCCAGAGGGGGTGGCAGAGGGAACAGGGGCTGGATTGGAGTCCCCATGAGGTGGGACTGTCTTCCCAGGGCAGGCACAGTAGCTCTCCCAAAAGCATTTTCCCTTACTGCTCCCACCTCCCAGTCACCCCAGAAAGCATGACCAGCACCCCACACACCCCAATCCCAAATCCCAATTTATTAAAACATGAGACCTTCTTTCATGTACTTCCTCTTTATTTCTTTTTAAATACTTTTTTAACTTCTTTTTATTTTATCCTTCATTTCACCACCCTTCCCCATCCCCATTTCCTTTCCACCTCCCATTTCACTACTCATGCCCACCCCACTAATTGTCTACCTCCCAACTTCATAATCCTGCCCCTCCAAGCTCATATCTCACCCCTCACCCCCCAACACCTACCCACCTAGAGCAGCGATAGAAGCCTATTCTGGCTCACCAGCCCCGTAGGAGCAACACAGCTGTGCAGGTTATGGAGAATCAGAGCAGGTTTTTAGCTTTTACATGTGACTGCTCTAAAGTTGAGGTAGGACTAATCAACATTTGAGCAGCTCAAAATGCAATGTGTAACAAGGCCCTATGCAATCTTAATAAGAAACCTTGCTAAGGGCACAGTAATGAACCATCCCAATGTGCAGGAAAACTAGCAAGTATGGCAGACGACTGATGTGGCTTAGTAGGGGACTCTTCAATGAGCTGAAACACAAAAGGAAACTTAGAAGAAGTAGAAACTTGGCAAACTACTGGGAAGGAGTATAAAAGTATTGCTTGAGAATGCAGGGATGAAATCAGGAAGGCCAAAGTGTGCTGGAGTTGCAGCCAACAAGGACTGTGAAGTAGGTAACAAGACGGGTTACTAGAAGTATATAAGCAACAAGATGACAATCAGTGAAAGTGTGGGTCTCTTACTAAATGGGAGAGGCGACCTAGTGAGAGACGATGCAGGAAATGCTTAAGTCCTCAATGTCTTTTTTATCTCAGTCTGCACAGGCAAGGTGAACCTACTGTACCTAGTACACAGTTTGGGGAGGAGGTGAGCATATGATAGTGGCAAAAGAACAGGTTAGGGACTATTTAGGAAAACTGGATGTATACAAGTCTGTGGGGCCAGATGGAATGCACCAAGGATGCTGAGGGCTTTGGTCAATGTGACTGCAGAACTGCTGGCCGTTATCTCTGAAAACTCACGGCTATCAGGAGATGTCTTGCATGAATGAAAAAGGGAAACATAGTGCCTATATTTAAGAAAGGGAAAAAGGAGGATCCAGGGGGCCTCACCTCAGTCCCTGGAAAAAATCATGGAGCAGATCCTCGAGGGATCCATTTCTAAACACTTGGAAAAGGAGGTGATTAGGAACAGTTAACACAGATTCAACAAGGCCAAGTCATGTGTGACCAACCTGATTGCCTTCTATGATGAGATGACTTTGTGGATGTGGGGAGACCAGTTGATGTGATATACCTTGATTTTAGCAAGGCTAATGATATAGTCTCCTATGACATTGCTGCAGTAAGCTAAGGAATTCTGGGCTGGATGAATGGACTGTAAGGTGGATAGAAAACTGGCTGGGGCATCGGGCTTGATGTCTAGTGGCATGGATTGTGGGGCTGTGATGGAATGCAGCCGGGGCCTGGAGCAGAGCTGCGATCTGCTCCCCACATGCCCCTGCTCACAGAATCGGTGTCCACTGCAGCAACACAAGGGGAACAGATCACGGCTCTGCCCTGGGCTCCAGCCCCGTACTATCAATGCCCCATGACCCTGGCCCCCATCTGCCCATCCTGCACCCAGATGCCACTTCCCACCCAGCTGCCACCTCATCCTAGCCACCTAGCTGAGTGCGGGGGCCACTTGGAGAGTTTTGGTGAGCTCTTTGGGGAGCCCAGAAGTGTTGACCCAGCCTGTGACAGCTCATTAAAGCTCCTAAGTAGCCCTCAGGCCAAAATAATTGCCCACTCCTGCTTTAAACCATTCTTTTACTCCAGGATAGTTGTTTCCTTTCCTATTTTTGCTGCCAATTGCATTCATCCTGTGGTAGCTGACTTAATTGATGAAGATTTAAGTAAAAAAAGGCATTAAGTGCTGTGTTTATTTGAATCCAAGGTAAGGTTTTCTCCCCCCGCCCCCCGCCCCATACAGCATGGGGGAAAAAACCCCTTGGATTCAAGTAAGGTCTCGTGCAGGAAGCTCTGGTTACAACTGCAGCAAGTGACCCATGGAAGACAATGCAGCACACACAGCAGGGAGTGCCAGGGAGATCGTGCAGTTCAAGCATGGGGTAGACTGAAAAGCGTGCATCCTGGGGGAGGGGAGGGAAGATCATGGAGTGTGAGGGGGGAGACCATGTGGTGGTGGGTAGGGAGAGCATGGCAGAGTGATGTCTAGTGGCATGGATTGTGGGGCTGTGATGGAATGCAGCCGGGGCCTGGAGCAGAGCTGCGATCTGCTCCCCACATGCCCCTGCTCACAGAATCGGTGTCCACTGCAGCAACACAAGGGGAACAGATCACGGCTCTGCCCTGGGCTCCAGCCCCGTACTATCAATGCCCCATGACCCTGGCCCCCATCTGCCCATCCTGCACCCAGATGCCACTTCCCACCCAGCTGCCACCTCATCCTAGCCACCTAGCTGAGTGCGGGGGCCACTTGGAGAGTTTTGGTGAGCTCTTTGGGGAGCCCAGAAGTGTTGACCCAGCCTGTGACAGCTCATTAAAGCTCCCTAAGTAGCCCTCAGGCCAAAATAATTGCCCACTCCTGCTTTAAACCATTCTTTTACTCCAGGATAGTTGTTTCCTTTCCTATTTTTGCTGCCAATTGCATTCATCCTGTGGTAGCTGACTTAATTGATGAAGATTTAAGTAAAAAAAGGCATTAAGTGCTGTGTTTATTTGAATCCAAGGTAAGGTTTTCTCCCCCCGCCCCCCGCCCCATACAGCATGGGGGAAAAAACCCCTTGGATTCAAGTAAGGTCTCAGGCAGGAAGCTCTGGTTACAACTGCAGCAAGTGACCCATGGAAGACAATGCAGCACACACAGCAGGGAGTGCCAGGGAGATCGTGCAGTTCAAGCATGGGGTAGACTGAAAAGCGTGCATCCTGGGGGAGGGGAGGGAAGATCATGGAGTGTGAGGGGGGAGACCATGTGGTGGTGGGTAGGGAGAGCATGGCAGAGATCATGCAGTGCAGAAGGGAATGCAGGGGAGATTGTGGGGTTTCAGGCAAGGGGAGTGCAAGGAAGATTGCCTGGTGCATGGGGAGGTCAAGAGTGGAGGAGATCATGGAGTGTGGGCAGAGGGAACTCAGGGGACGCCATGCTTTATGGGGTGAGGAGCTTGGGTGGCACGGGGGCAGGTGTGTGGGGAAAAAGCATAGTGCGGGGAAGTGAGCCCAGGGGTATGCAGCTCAAGGGGAGTGCAGGTGGTGTGGAGGGGTGCAACTATGGGAGAGATTGGTCATCATTCACACGTGCGTTTCAGTGCACTAAATGACTTCACCATAGGATAGAATTGTCCTGGACAGTACTATCCTACAGAGTAGTCAATTAATTTACTATGCCCTAATGTGGGCGCATGTGTGGATGGTGACACTTTACTGCAGAACTAATTAGTCAATTCTGCAGTAAAGCACATGTATGGATGCATCCACT